AGGAGTGTTAGGAACACTGCTGTTTGGACTTGCATCTGAGCTGTAATATAGACTCGCTCTTTCATGATGGTGAGGGATGGAGAAATGATTCTTCTTTTTCAGGGTACCCTGCGTCGGTGAGAGACGGCAGATATTAAAAATATATAATAGCGTGTGTGACAAGGTGCAAATAAATATATTTCCTGTAACAGAGGAAATTTGTCTTACACTGTCAACTGAGTTTTATTAATTGGTTGCGGAAGCTAACTTTTCTCTCACTATAATCTTAAACTCCTTTCACAAGCTTGATAGACGTTACACACATTACCAAACATTATTAGCTCACCTCTCAGCAGTTTAGTATCACAGCGCTGGAAACTGAGCTCAACATAGAATATGAAGCTGATATCTCTGTGTTAACAAGTTCACATTCCTTTCGTCCTACAAAATTTGAACTTTTCAGAACACTCCTCGTGAACATCACCTTAATTTTTTTTTTTCTTAACAATGCTATACAACAACTGATTACCATTTATTACTATTAACTCATTACAATAAATTGAGAACACTAAAACATTAAGCAGACACAGAGCAATGATATAACAATAACATAACAATAACTTTAAGCTAAACACATTAACACAGTCTCAATAACCAAGAATGTTCTTACTGTTAACAATTTTCAGATATTTAACATCTATTTGAATAATTCTGAATATGTTTAAATACAGTATTGCTTTTTATGATTACTAAAATTACCCTTCTTATTCATTCTCGTCGCCTGATTCTCACTATTTTCAAAGTTGTGGGAAGGCGAAGGTTAAAAACATCACACAGTAATAATAATTATAATAATAACAAGAGAGGAGTGTAGGGGAGACAGAGAGATTTTGAGAAATGTTAAGCGAATGTATAGGAACCTTTGAACCAAGTGAGAGAGTAATTGTGGTAACGGATCTAAATGCTAAAGTAGGAGAAACTTTTAGAGAGGGTGTGGTAGGTAAGTTTGGGGTGCCAGGTGTAAATGATAATGGGAGCCCTTTGATTGAGCTTTGTATGGAAAGGAGTTTAGTTATAGGTAATACATATTTTAAGAAAAAAAGAAAACACAAGATATGTTGTAGGGCGTAATGACAGTAGTTTGCTCAAAGACGTATTGGTAGATAAAATACTGTTCAGCAGACTTCAGGATGTACATGTTTATAGAGGGGCCACAGATATATTAGATCACTTTTTAGTTTTAGCTACAGTGAGAGTGAAAGGTAGATGGGATACAAGGAAAATAGAAGCATCAGGTAAGAGAAAGGTGAAGGTTTATAAACTAAAAGAGAAGGCAGTTAGGATAAGATATAAACAACTATTGGAGGATGGGATAGTGAGAGTATAGGCAATGGGATCGAAGATGTATGGGGTAGGTTTAGGAATGTAGCGCTAGAGTGTTTAGCAGAAGTTTGTGGTTACAGGAAAGTGGGTGCGGGAGGGAAGAGGAGCGATTGGTGGAATGATGATGTAAAGAGAGCAGTAAGAGAGAAAACGTTAGCATATGAGAGAGGTTTTTACAAAGTAGATGTGATGTAAGGAGGGAAGAGCATATGGAGGGATAAAGAGAGGTTAAGAGAGTGGTGAAGCAATGTAAAAAGAGAGCAAATGAGAGAGTGGGTGAGATGTTATCAACAAATTTTGTTGAAAATAAGAAAACGTTTTGGAGTGAAATTAACAAGTTAAGGAAGCCTAGAGAACAAATGGATTTGTCAGTTAAAAATTGGAGAGGAGAGTTATTAAATGGAGAGTTAGAGGTATTGGGAAGATGGAGGGAATATTTTGAGGAATTGTTAAATGTTGATGAAGATAAGGAAGCTGTGATTTCGTGTATAGGACAAGGAGGAACAACATCTTGTAGGAGTGAGGAAGAGCCAGTTGTGAGTGTGGGGGAAGTTCGTGAGGCAGTAGGTAGAATGAAAGTGACTAAGGCAGCTGGGATTGATGGGATAAAGACAGAAATATTAACATGAGGTGGGGATATAGTTTTGGAGTGGTTGGTGCAATTATTTAATAAATGTATGGAAGAGGGTAAGGTACCTAGGGATTGGCAGAGAGCATGCATAGTTCCTTTGTATAAAGGCAAAGGGGACAAAAGAGAGTGCAAAAATTATAGGGGAATAAGTCTGTTGAGTATGCCTGGTAAAGTGTATGGTAGAGTTATTATTGAAAGAATTAAGAGTAAGACAGAGAGTAGGATAGCAGATGAACAAGGCGGCTTTAGCAAAGGTAGGAGATGTGTAGACCAAGTGTTTACAGTGAAACATATAGATGAACAGTATTTAGATAAGGCTAAAGAGGTTTTTGTGGCATTTGTGGATTTGGAAAAGGCATATGACAGGGTGGATAGGGGGGCAATGTGGCAGATGTTGCAGGTGTATGGTATAGGAAGTAGGTTACTGAAAGCAGTGAAGAGTTTTTTCGAGGATAGTGAGGCTCAAGTTAGAGTATGTAGGAGAGAGGAAGATTATTTCCCAGTAAAAGTAGGCCTTAGCCAAGGATGTGTGACGTCACTGTGGTTGTTTAATATATTTATAGATGAGGTTGTATGAGAAGTGAATGCTAGGGTCTTGGCAAGAGGTGTGGAGTTAAAAGATAAAGAATCAAACACGAAGTGGGAGTTGTCACAGTTGCTCTTTGCTGATGACACGGTGCTTTTGGGAGATTCTGAAGAGAAGTTGCAGAGGTTGGTGGATAAATTTGGTAGGATATGTAATAGAAGAAAATTAAAAGTGAATATAGGAAAGAGTAAGGAGGTGAGGATAACGAAAAGATTAGGTGATGAAAGATTGGATATCAGATTGGAGGGAGAGAGTATAGAAGAGGTGAATATATTCAGATATTTAGGAGTGGACGTGTCAACAGATGGGTCTACGAGGGATGAGGCGAGTCATAAAATTATTAGGCAAAAAGGGTGAGCGGTGCACTTAGGAGTCTGTGGAGACAAAGAACTTTGTCATTGGAAGCAAAGAGGGGAATGTATGAGAGGATAGTTATGCCAACACTCTTATATGAGTGTGAAGCATGGGTGATGAATGTTGTAGCGAGGAGAAGGCTGGAGGCAGTGATGTCATGTATGAGGGCAAGCATGCGTGAGCGTATTTGATAGGAGTGAATGGAGACAAATGGTTTTTAATACTTGACGTGCTGTTGGAGTGTGAGCACAGAAATGTTTATGAAGGGATTCAGGGAAACCGGCAGGCCGGACTTGAGTCCTGGAGATGGGAAGTACAGTGCCTGCACTCTGAAGGAGGGGTGTTAATGTTGCAGTTTTATAACTGTAGTGTAAAGCATTCCTCTGGCAAGACAGTGATGGAGTGAATGATGAAAGTTTTTCTTTTTCAGTCCACCCTGCCTTGGTGGGAATCGGCCAGTGTGTTAATTTAATAATAATGACGATGATGATGATGATGATGATGATGATAACAATAATTATAATAATAAGTGTGAGTAATACTAATATATGAGTAACAATAATAATAATAATAAAAATAATTACAATTATAATAATAATAATAATAATATAAATTATTATTATTATTATTAGCACCAATAAATGAATATTAATGACGATAGATTCTACAACCTTTCACTAAGACAACTTATACAAGACAAATGACAATTAACTCGTGGTTAAGTTTTAGTTCAATAAAAAATACATAAATCAGTTGTCAGATTTTTTCCTAAAAGTTCTGTGTGTGTTAATTAGTTGAAGTTTATTCTAATCGACTTTAAACTTTCCACACAGGTTCATCGTGTCCAGTGGAAGGTTGCAAGTGCTAATGTGCTATGTTTTAATTTGCAGTTTTATTGGTTAAATTGTAATTTTAGTTTCTTCGCATTTATTTGAGAATGTTTCTGTTTATCAGCTTTAAAGATCTGTTGTATAAATCACTCTGAATATTTTACTCACGAAAGGATCTGATAAATTTCGGTCTGTGAAGGGAACTGTTTCCTAATCATGTTTAGAAAATCAAAAATATTAATTTTTGGAAGAGTGCTATATGAACATAAGAATGGAAGAACACTGTAGTAGGCCTACTAGCCCATATAAGGCAGGTTCTTATCGAAAGCCACCTATGTATTTGTCCAACCTTTTTCCTAAATTGCGCAAGAATTTGATTCTGTACCGCAGACACCATTCAAGCGCAACCCCTCTCATTCATATATCTGTCCAATCTCTTTTTAAAGTTACACAAGATCATAGCCTCTATTACCTTATTCGCAAGATTGTTCCACGTACTGAAAACTCTGAGAACCAGTACTTACCTATGTTCTTTCTAAATCTATTTTTTTTCAACAAGTCAATTGTCTCCCACCGAGGCAGGATGACCCAAAAAGAAAGAAAATCCCCAAGAAGAAAATACTTTCATCATCATTCAACACTTTCACCTCACTCATACATAATCACTGTTTTTGCAGAATCGCTGAGATACGGCAGTTTAAAAGTGAACCTCCAAACTGCCAATATCCCAAACCCCTCCTTTAAAGTGCAGGCATTTTACTTCCCATTTCCAGGACTCAAATCCGGCTAACCAGCTACCCTGAATCCCTTCACAAAATATTACCCTGCTCACACTCCAACAGCTCGTCAGGTCCCAAAAACCATTAGTCTCCATTCACTCCTATCTAACACGCTCACACATGCTTACTGGAAGTCTAATGTTATCTAACTTAAATCCTTTATTTTTGGTTCTTACTTGATTCGATATCCTCAGTATTTGATAAATATCGCCTTTGTTTATGCCCATCATCCACTTATATACTTCAACGATATCTCTCAAGAGAGTGAAAATTCAAGCGCTTATGGGAGATTCCTTATACCGTGAATAAATTCCTTATACAGCAGTGTTATCTGAGAATATTGAATATCACTCTCAGATAACACAACTACACAAACTCTTCCAGGTAGAAATAGGAGTCATTTAAATAATCTTACACAGCAACGATTAAACTAAACCTGATTAATTCCTGTGTTACAGGTGCCCCAGATAGTGTAAGAGACTGTGTGTTGACTAATCAGTCAGCTGGGTCACTACACATCACCTGTCAGCCAGGGGCGGACGGGGGACTCACTCAAAACTTTAGGTGAGTATGTAGCTTTCTCTTAGTGCTTGTTCGGTAGTCAGACTCGGAGCATCTCCATAGTAAGTCGAACACTGCACCAGTTTGCGACAGTACGCCAAATTGCATCTGTATTCTTCGCTCGCCAAGTCGTATATAGTTTATATCTAATGAATATAATTTAATTATACGTTGACGAAGATTTTCTATCTCTATAAAGCAGTCAAGAGAGCGTCTCTGGCTTTGAACTAAACACAATTAGTGATTACATAAGAAGATAAGAATGGAGGAACACTGCAAAAGGCCTGCTGGTTGATCTTAAGTGTCAGAGGCAGAGTCAACAAAATACTTAATCTGTGCCAGTATTCACAGAAAAGCGCATTTGGTTCATTTTTATGGAGAGTGTATTATACTTAATTAAATGACCTTTTCAGTTCATCCTAGAATTCCATGTCCTTGCAGATGACTATATTCTGACATTTACTTATCCAAGAGATGAAATGAAAGCTGCTCTCAGTCACTTCAATCACCAGCTTTCTGCTGAGCCTAAGGAAAAATACAATGACAGGTCACATTTGTTTCTGAGAAAGCACAAATGAGGATCATCTCTAGGCAGTATAATGTTAATGCAGGATCAGTGGTAACAGTGAATAGAAGAGTGTTAGAACTCAGGGGTAAAGTCTATTTCAAAGGCGTGAAATTTGACCCTAAAATGTCTATGGAAAAATCACTTGTTAAATTTTGCAAACAAAATCATATCTCGTACCTGCCGGACATGAGAGACTGCGACACTCTGCACCAGGCACAAGTGCACTTACACCTTAATATCTACCACTTTCCTGGATTGCTAGCTCAACGTCTCACCTACGACTTCTGGACGATACAGACAACTTAGCAAGACGACTTATCTGTTGGTTAGACCAGGCGGAGTAGATCTGTCATTTCAGCAGAACCTTTAATGTTGGAGAAATGTAAATAACAACAACAACAACAACAACAAAAGGTGCAATACTGTGGCTGGAACGTTACGCATATAATCCGTACATAAAAGAGAGGAGCTTACGACAACATTACGGTCCGACTTGGAGCATTTACAAAGTCACACTGTGACTTTGTAAATGTCTTCGTAAGCTCCTTTCCTCTACGTGCGGGTTATTTGTGTATTGGAGAAATATAGTTGGTCTTACTGTAATGCGCAAGGTTAATATTGTACCACTCATGGCTCTACTTCGCAGATAACGAGGAGACAACTTCTGTTCCACATGAAAGGCACGAAACAACAACTACACTGGCTGTATATCCTTCTCGAGAACATCACATCATCTGAAATCACTCATTCCAAAAATGAGTCGAATTTGGAACATTCTCGTATTGCATAACAACGTCGATTATATAAAATCAATTGACTAAATAAAATCACTGCCCCGCACCTGGCTCCAACTTGCTCCTGTTCCCTGTCTGTATGTTTCATAGCAAAACATAAAACGTTGTCATATGAGATAGGTAATAATTCTTAGCTTATTAATGAAGGTGGGAATTCTTCCACCAAGCCTGTAAATTCATGTCACAGAATCGTTCATTTGCTCAGAACTACTAAACATCTCATATGATGTAGTTGAAGTTTTGGCGGTATAGATCGAGAACCAAAACCTTGTCATTGTGGTAGTATACAAGCCTCCAGATTCAACTTCCCAGCAATTCCAGGAACAGCTTTTGAAAATTGACCACTGTCTGGAAAATCTCCCAACTCCTGCCCCAAACATCTTGCTACTGAGTGATTTCAAATTGAGAAACCTAAAATGGAGTGTAGCAAATAATGTTTTAGCAGGAGGCAGCTCAGATGAAAATTCACACACACACGAGCTATTAAATCTTTGCACCAAATTCACCTTAAACCAGCAAATATTAGAGCCAACAAGACTAGAAAATACACTGGGCCTCATCTTCACTAACAATGACAATCTGATACGTAATATAACTGTATCAAAGAAAATCACAACATAATAGAGGCACAGACATATATGTACAGGAGTGCTGACCAACAAAATGTGAGCAGTCATGAGAGTGTCTTCACAAAATTCAACTTCAATAACAAAAACATACAATGGGAACAAGTCAGCCATGTCCTAAATGTAACAAACCGGGAAGATATCCTAAACAACACGAATCCAAACATTTGCCTTGAAAAAGTGAACTCTTGTTCCTGAGATCTGCTCAAGGTACATTACATTAGTAAGTTTATTCAGTTACATAGATTATCATACATAGCAGCATATGTGTAGGGAACCTGGGATAACCCAAAAAAGTCAGAGTGACTTCTTTCCTTTCGGGTTCTTTTGTTACCTTATCAATATTACATTAATATAAATAATTAAATGTGGCAGATAAGAAATTATTTAAAAATGACACATAAAACAAATTAAATAAAATATTGAATAAAAGATGATAAGGACAGAATGAGTAGATCACAAGAATTATGAAAATATAAAAAAAATGTAAAGAATACTAAATTATAATGGGTTCACTCTGAAAATTAATTTTCAGTCTGTTGGAATACAACGAAAAATAGAAGACAATGAATATGTATTAGAAATTAATAAACATCTCAGGGGTATGCATTTATTACCCATTAATAATTGATGTTGCTGATGATGAGATTTGAGGGATTGAGTGCACACCTCCAGCGGCACACCTGACAGTTTGTGTTAAGTAAAAGGACACAAATGCAACTAATGTGACATTTTATTATGGCAACGTTTCGCTCTCCAGGAGCTTTGTCAAGCCGTTACGAGGCTACCTGACAGTTGCCTCGTGGTCGATTTCCACAGCTGTTGGCTCTGTCGTGGAAGTTCCTGAGGACCCGGGATATCTTGTGACATTGCTGACATCTTGGCTGGAAGGGGCAAAGTTCTCTCTACAGTTGGGGTGTCGCTGGCAGTTGGGTGGGTGAGGCGGGGGAGTTGAATGGTGTAGGCGCAGTAGTGTGGGGGTGGGTGACGGGTTTTGGGAGGGTGACGGGTTTTGGGAGGCCTGGGAGGGTCACTGTACACTACACAGAGGGCAAGCCCGCCATGAGACGGGCTAAAATGACACGAGTTCGAGTCCTCGCCTAGTCGCACTGTTGTTATTGATTAAATACCACTCGTTCGTGGTTATAGTAATATATATACTGCTCGTGGAGGCTAGTACATCAAATGGGGAGCAGAATGAAATTAGCTCTGAGGCACCCACACCATCAAATGTCCTCTGATCACGGTAAAACACCTAGCTCTGCTGGGTGCGTGATCTTTGTAGAATTCCGTGGTCCCATGGGTTAGAGCATCGTGAATTTTATCTCGGGTTCGAATCTTCGGCTAGCCGCAATGTTGTTATTGATTAAATACCACTCGTTCGTTGCAATACGAATCATATATATATATATATATATATATATATATATATATATATATATATTTATATATATATATATATATATATATATATATATATATATATATATATATATATATATATATATATATATATATATATATATATATATATATATATATATATATATGCAATAAGATCACAGTAAACAGGTGATTTAAGAATATGCAAAACAACCACTCTGAAAGAAAAGAGAAATTCCAAGCGCTTTCCTGACTACTCACATTGTCAAGGAACTATGAAAGTAAAGCATCCAAGGAAGCTATATAAGGGGTCTGGCCAGCACCTCACTATCAGATCCCACAACTGTTAAACACCTGACGCGCGCCGACCCAACTTGGATAGGTCCTTTGCACAACTCACCCACAAACTATTCTACCCAAGAAAATTTAAAAATTATTATTTGTCCAGTGTATTATTAAATTCTTCCCAAATTCTATTAATTATAAATGGATCTAATTTATATAAACCAAAGGAAATATTCATATTATTGTCAAAACTGCTTTTTATGAAACAAGATTCAATTATATTCCTGTCGACCATGGACTTGCTTGATACTACTTTCTCAACTTTCTGAAAATCAATTGGATGGTTAAAATCTCTTACATGAATAAATAGAGCATTGGAATCTTGTCCAGTTCTAATGCTATATTTATGTTGTTTTAATCTTAGTTCGAGATTTTTACCAGTTTGACCGTAATAAACTTTATCACAAATTTTACAAGGAATCTTATAGACACATCCATCAGCATTTTGGGGGGAATTCTTTATCAAAAGTTTTTTTTACTGTATTAAGATTTTTGAATACAACTTTAATATTAAAAGACTTAAGAAGAGAAGGCATATCAACCAAGTTTTCATGGTAAGGGAGAACCAACATATTTTTAGTTGAATAAGGCTGGTTGTCCCTTTTTGGATTGTAAAAAGTATTTCTAGTAACTTTAAAAGATTTATCAATTACATTTCTTGGGTATTTTAAATCATTACCTATTTCATAAATTTTGGATATTTCCTCATCTGTGAACTCAGGACTACAAATTCGTAATGCTCTCAAAAACATTGATGAGAAAACAGACAGTTTGACTCTATCTTGATGCGAGGAATAATAGTGGACATAGGAACAGTTATTTGTAGGTTTTCTGGCAATGGTAAATTATAGTTAACGAGTTCTTCAGATAAGAAACAATAAATCATCAACAGGAACTTCCGTAAACAAGGAAGTAATATCAAAACTAACCATGTTAAAATCATTTAAGTCAGTCAAGGAGCTTAATTTATCAACCAAGTCTATGTTGTTTTTAACATTAAAGTTAGAAATTTTGCCAACAATAGGGCTCAAAATATCAACAAGCCATTTGGATAATTTATATGAAACTGACCCTATGGAGCTAATAATTGGTCTGACTGGATTTTATTGAAAGGCAAAGATGAATTAGTCAAACAATTTACTTCCACTAATCCATCTTTGCCTTACATGTATGGACTAATAAAAACACACAAACCAGGGAATCCAGTCAGACTAATTATTAGCTCCATAGGGTCAGTTTCATATAAATTATCCAAATGGCTTGTTGATATTTTGAGCCCTATTGTTG